GTTATTTAGGCCTCAGGTGACTCGTTTTCTGATTTTAAGGTCTATCTGTCCAAGGTCTCTTGGGACAACGGTAACGTTTCTTTGCCATGAAGGTCGACAGTCGTCGATGCCATTTAGGCCATAGGTGACCCTTTCTTGTCGGCTTCTCTGCCAGGCTCGAATAAATAGGACTGTCGTCAAACTGCCTAGTTTGTGGGCTGGTCAGTTCTCTAGCTAGAGAACTGGTTTGTTGGCTTCTTTACCAAGAATTTCTCTGTTTGGTCTCTTTGCCAAGGTTCACTCTTCTCCTATTCCACTTTTTTGCAAAGCTCTTTTTTTCCTTCGCGTCTTTACGGAGGCATGCCCTACTCTACTTCTTAGTTGAGTTCTTATAGTTTCTCTACCATTGTCTGATTTGCTCAAGTTCTTTGCCAAGATACATTCTACCTAACATACCCACCAAGCTCCTCTACCTCCTTGGCTTCTTTGTTGAGCTTCTTAACCAAGGTTCTCGTATGTCCTCAACTTCTTTACCAAGGTCATTTGTCTCCTCAGCTTCTTGGTCTCTTTTTGCCTTCTCTACTAAGGCTCTCTACCTCCTTAATTTCCAGTTCTCCTCAGTTTTTTTGTCAAGGAGTCCTACCTCCTTGGCTTCTCTACCATGATCTGCTTGCTCTCCTCATTTCCCTATGAAATATGCTACTCGCGAGTTCTGCTAATGCTCAGCTTTTTTGTTGAATTCTACTTAATATATCTTCTTGAGCTATGGTTTGCTTAGCTTTTTTGTAATACCTCGTCCCATTTTGGCAAGGAACTAGCTAGAGAATATTATCTTGGAAGGAATAAGAAAAATTTTAAAGAAGAATTTAGAATAGTCTAGAATAATCTAGAATATTGGAGAAGTTTCTAGAATAGTCTAGAAGATTCTAGAAAGTTCAAGAATAACCTAGAATAGTTTAGAATAATCTAGAAGTCTAGAATATTTTAGAAGGTTCTAGAAAATATTAGAAGGTTCTAGAGGGATTTAGAATGTTCCGGAAGGGCTTAGAAGGTTGGAGAAGACTTTAGAATATTATAGATGAATCCAGATACTTGTAGAATGGTCTTGAAACCTAAAAGGATCTAGGAGAGGAAAGATGGTAGAATATTCTAGGGAATCTCCCATAAGAATGTTACATGTCAATATTCTCTAGAATAATCCTAAGATGTCTATAAATAGGACATTTGGGGATTGGATTAAAATACAAGTGCACAAGTAATCTTCCACTTTCAAGAAAGAATAGAGAGTAAAAGAGAGAAGAAAGAAGGAAGAACATATCATCAAAGATGAAAGGAAATGGTGAGAAAAAGAGGAAAGGCATCAATAAAATCTCACTCTACTTCGGGTAACAAACAACACTCAAGAAGCATATCATTTGGACTAGAGGTGAGTGGTTTGGCATACTACGTATTTTTTCTATATCCCCAACATTTTAAAAATGATATATAATGCTTGTTCTTTACTACCTTTATAATAATGTTTTACTAATTGTCTAAATACTTGTGGCATACGATTCTCCTTATATTGATGAATTTTTTTATGCAGTATTGTGACTCAATCACTTGTTCATAGGGTGAGACTTTGTGATGTGAATAGGACCATGATTGAAAGTCCAAGGAAATTATTCCTCAGTGTGCAAGTGACTCTGACCACTAGAAAACAAACCCGAGAGAGGCTGAGGTAATCCTAGTGCTCAACGGTTGAAGAAACAGTGTCTGGTGTGTCCTGGTGACGGGTGACCTTCACCAGATCGTCTTAGGGAACAGTTCTTGGGCGACAACCCGTGGTGACCCTAAGTATGATTTTGGATCCAATCCTGAGATATATTCTATTATTTGGCACTAAAAGTCCAGAAAAATTATTCCTCCGTGTGCGGGTGATCCTGGTCACTAGGGAACAGACCCGGGAGAGGCTGAGATGACCCTAGTGCTCAACGGCTGAAGGAACAGTTCCCGGTGCATCCTAGTGACCTTCACTGGATCGTCTTAGGGAACAGTTCCCGGGCAGCAACTCGTGGTGACCCTAAGTACGGTGTTGGATCCAACCTTGAGATCTTTTGGCATTTGGTATGGCTCCCAGATATCGTAGAAGTCCTCACCAGTATGAGATGATGATATAATTTGTTATTGTCACAACGTTTTTACTGGCTTTGTTTATGATTATCTATCATATGTCATACGTATTTTCTTGTTATCAGTTATTGTATTTGGTATTTGATTCCCATTGATTATTGGATATTGTACAGTCTCCACCATTATGATATGATTCACAATTGTGGTATGATTTCTTGTTCAAATCCGATTGTTTTATTCTTGAGAAATTAATTATCTTGATGAAGTTATTTATTCAACCCTTTAATTTACATGTCGTATGCCAAAAATATTTTTCAGTCACTTTGAATATGCATGTCTTTCCATTCACTGAGCTTTTTAGCTCATGTTTTTAAAATAATATTTTTTTAGGTAAACGATTGGAGTGTCAATAGCGGACTCTGGGAATTGATTGGGGACTAATAGTGTTGTGACCTCCGTAGCATATATTATATAGCCCTCTTTACTTGTTTGGATAATCAGGGCAAACGGGTTTAGGTATGTTGACTTTAACATATCGACACAAGGATCAAAATGTCGTGTCGACACGTCCGAAACGTCCGAAACGTTTCGGAATTTCAACACTCCGAAACGAAACAGTAGTTGAATCACAAAATTCCAGTGTTTCGGTCGAAACGGTACTGTTTCGGACCGTTTCGGTCGAAACGGTACTGTTTCGGACCATTTCGGTCGAAACGGCATTGTTTCGAACCGTTTCGACAAAACAGTGATATATTCGGTTCATTATGAATAATTACATTTAATACCCCATTATAATTACATTTAATACCCACTGTAATTACATTTAATACTCACTATAATTATATTTAATATCCCACTATAATTACATTTAATTCCCACTGCTCTTCTGTCTTTTATAATTTTTTTGTTATAAGAATAAATAATTACACTTAATACCCTACTATAATTATATTTAATACCCATTATAATTATATTTAATACATACTATAATTATATTTAATACCTCACTGCTGTGCAAGTTTTTTGCTTTCTTTTTTTTGTTATAAGTATTAACAATTACATTTAATACCCTAATGTAATTATATTTAATACCTACTGTAATTACATTTAATACCCACTGCAATTACATTTAATTTTTAAGTATACATAAGTATCATTAATTTAATTTGATACCCTTCATTATTAGTATTATAATAAAATAGTATTATTAATTGGATTATATTACCGTAATAATATGATTTGGAGTAACTATTGTCATCATATTTATGTCACATATGGAGTTTCTCTAAGTAGCTACCCAGAGCCTACACCGATGTATGAGCCTGCTCGACACTCCACAGGGGAATGGATGTAACCATGTAAGTATGTACTCATTAGCATTTCATGTGTATTATAAGACCTTAATATTATGTAAAAATGTGTTTATTTCATAAAAATTAAGTGTTTGAAACTAATTTAAGTGACTTTCGCCTCAAGTCAAGCCTTTTTTTTCCTCAAATTTAAATTTATTCTTGTATAAATTGATGTTAACCTAATAAATATGTTGAATTAATAAATTATTTAGCATATCTTTATAAATTAATGGATTGCATTTGTGTTTCTATGCGTTTTCATATTTTTTCTGCGTTTCCATTGCGTTTCCGAAATGTTTCCGAAACGTTTCTATTTTTGAGTTGACCGAAACGGTACTTCGAAACGAAATTTTGATCCTTGTATCGACATGAGATCAATTTAGTGTTAATGTTATTTTTCACTCATATTATTAGTTATTGTTAGGCTTACATGTTCTATAGGTTATGGATCTATGGTTCACGGCCGGTCATGCCCTTGGAGTTGGGGTGTGACATTTTCTGCTGCTTTATACTTTACTCAGCTTCTATTCTGAGCCTACTCAGGTTACCTTCTTGTTGGCTCCACTCAAATTGGCTTCTCTACTGAGCTCTGGTTGTGCTCGCATCTCTGCTGAGATTTTCTCTTTTCAAGTTTTTTTTCATGCTCCGCTTTTCTAGGAAATGCTGGTCTCCTCAACTTCTTCACAGAACTCTACATTTGCTCAATTGTGCTTTTCTTTTTTTGTTGAGACCCGATTAGGTCGGTGTCCTGTTGATCTTTATATCTATCAATTTCTCTGGCCGGTTTTTCTAGCGAAAACTATTCTCTTGCGCTTTTGTATGGAACCTGCTCTTGCTCGCTTATCGGTAGAGCTTTTCTCTGCTCATCTTCTTTAGTGAGAATTTACCTACTCAGATTCTCGGTCAAGTATACTCTGCTTCTTCGTTGACCATGCCCTTGCTCAGCACCTCTGACAAGCACCACTGTTGTGTTGAGCTTATTTGTCCCCTTGATGTTGAGCTTCTTTGTCTATTTTGCTTCGTTGCCAAAACCCAATAACCTCACTTCTCAGAGGTTTGTTGCTTGTTTGACGGGGTCTGATCTCTTTGGCACCTCTACTAAAACTCAACCAGTGCCAAAACTTCTCTTATACAGATCGCTCATTGTCATGACTTTGGAAATGCACTTAAGCATTCCCAGATACAATACTAAAATTTTAATGCAAAAGAGCATTCCCTGAAGTCAACCGGACTTCCATCCGTTCAGAAGGAAACTGACAGGTGCCAGTAGGGCACCCTCCGATGCTTATAGGACCTGAATCTGCATAGCATACATTTATATCGGGGAAGAGAGTATGGCTTGTTCTTGGAGGATCAAGGCCTTCATATAGGCACCTTCGGGCAGTTTCAATGGTGCAATTTACTCAACGTTTTATACTCTTGTACTCTGCATACCCTGAATTATTTACTGATTCCTACCACTGTGGTGAATCACCACATTTTAGGAAACTAGACCCCTATCTAGAATGGGGCTTCATTCAGCCAAAAAATTTCAGGTATAAACTCCTAAGCTTTCTTCTAGTGCCCTTGTTCACTTGGCTGGGTGATTTTTCTCACCTGCATGTACATACAGAGACACCCCTAAAAGAAGAAAGAGAGTTTACTGAAGTGTTTAAAAACAAGCAGAAAAATGAGAAATGACTCTACCACACAAAGCTAAGTAAAAAGAAGAGTCCATCTTTCCCACATAAAGCCACACTGAATTTTTGTAAGTGATTCCCAATCGAACTTGCAACACAGTAAAAGTCACAAAGTATTTGTGGACATAGAGCTGAACATCTAACCAGCAATGATAAAAAATTAACTGAAAACATAAGAAGTACATACAATCAGAACAAAAAGCAGAGAACAGAATGTAACTATCAACATAGCTATCTGAAACAACACATGCCAAGATTTGCAGCAACAGAGATAGGTTCACATGCAAATAATAATGAAGAATATTCCAAGACCGGATGATGACTAACGGAAATTTAAAAAAAAAAGGGAAAAAAAGAAAATGAAGAGAGATTTCAACTGCCATTGACAATAATCATGAAATCCGGGCCATTTTGGAGCAAGTAGAAGACAAGGGGAGACTTGTTTTCTCTACAATATATCAACCCACACATACGAGGATTCGTATCACAAGCAGCTACAGGGAAAAAAAGCTGGCAGGCTGGAAAAGTATTAAAAGCCACTCAAACCAAATTAAAGAAAGTAAATTACTACCTAACACAAGCATTTGGCAGGAGCATTGATGTCATGAAATCAGATTGATAATGGCAAAGAAGCAGTTTCAGGGATTATATACCTGGTTTGTGATAACCCATTTGACAAAGGGCAAACGAAGCTCATGGCAAAGCTCAATCATGTCACCTCCATGGGTCAAAAGTTTAACCATATTCCTTTTCAACGTAAAACACATTTAAGCAACCATCACAAGGATGCATCTAGAAACAAATTTGGGCATAAATATATTCCAGTTAAAAATAACAGCAAGAATTTAAGAGAGACCTATTGAGTGGCAGACGATCACCAAATAATTGCATGGGTACAATTTCCAAATGCTTTGCACAATGATGTCTGAACACTTCCGTACTGACCTCCACAACCTGATCACGGGTTTCCGTGTCCATTCTGTGTATTGAATAGAGGAACTATCATTTCCCACCAACTTTGTTCTTCCAACATTTTCATGATTGTCCTTTGAGCTTAACATCTCCTCATCGAATATAGCATTAACAACTTTGTCATAGATACTAGTGTCATCTGATGTATGCATTGTTCGGAGAATATCTGCACAGATGGGAAAAAGCAGCTTACTCAAGCTATGTGTTATATTATGTTATATTAGGATGTAACCATTAAGGGTATTTTTTGTACATCTGTGACTATATATATATTTGGAGGTGGTTGTGTAACCCTAATACACACTACTCTTTTCATAATCTTGTCTCTCTTTCTCTTTCTCTTTCTCTTAATCTTCTTTTCTCTATCCCATAACCCTAATTCATCATAATCTAACTAGGTATCAAAGAAGCCATCAAGATTTAAAGGTTTAAAGTTTTCGGAATACATTAAAAAAAATTTCTTGTTTAGCAGTGCTGATTGTCAAGAGTCTGACATGCTGATGTCAGCACCCAACCTGTTAGAAAAATTCCAAAAAATTCAGGGTTGATTTGACTGGGCCTCATAAGATTTATGGTGATTTTTGCATATTTTTCTAAATTTGTTTGATAGGTCACTTGATTTTGCAAATGTTTTTTGAATTTTTCTGGGTACAAAGCTTGATCTACGATTTCTGAGCATCTCAAGGGCTGGATTTGGTTCAAAAGTCTTCTTTAAGGTGCGATTAGGGATTTTCTTTGTTGCCCAGGATGTTTGGTTGTGTTTGGAGTGGATTTGGGAGGCATTTTTTTCCCATTATTCCCTGCCAACAGTCAGTCTGGGCTACTATTCCAACTTTGATTAGTCTCCTGGACACTTGTTGCGTGCTTGTGTCTTCTGGTTTTCAGAATTGAGTGTTGTTTGAAGGTTTTTTCTGGTTGTGTTCTTCTAGTTTTTTCTGGAGTGGATTTCCAGTGACTTGCTATTACTTTGTGCTAATCCTATTGTACAGACATGTCGAAAGGGAGTGCGACTACTACTAGTACTATAGGTAGCACTTGGGGGAGTGGGCTGAGTCGTTTGGGTGCTCTTGCAAACAACTCATCTCTTCAAATTAGTCCGGAAAAGTTGGATGTACACAATTATTTGGCGTGGTCACGGACTTATTTGTTATCGATCAAAGCTATTACTTTGGATGGGTATTTGTCTGGAGAGACTAAAAAGCCTAGTGAGTCTGGTTCCCCACTGAAGCAGTGGACATCTGAGAATACCTTGGTTATGTCCTGATTGCTTAATTCAATGCAAACCTCTATTAGTCGTGGAAGTCATACAAATTGTAACCTTAGCTTTCCGTTGCTTGATATAGTACATAAGATATAGACTGCTGGAACTAGAATTCATACATATTCTCATACGGGTAATGATGCTAAGGCTTATGATCTTCGCAAGAAAGTGAGAGACTAATCAAAAAGATAAGACCCCTATAATTTATTATGCAAAGTTGACTACCTTATGGCAGGAGTTGGATTATTACAAGAGTTTCACAACAGATTGAGTTAACGATGCTGTTAAATTTCAGCAGATGGTGGAAAAGGAATGAATGTATGACTTCCTTGCTCGTCTAAATATTGGATATGATCAAATTCGAATTTAGATTTTGGGTCGTAGTCCATTTTCTACTTTATAAGAAGCCTATGCCCATGTTGAGCAAGAGGAGACCCGCAAGATTGCTATGGTTTATTCTCCTACATAGGAACAATCTGCATTAGCTATTATCCTCCAGCATGACATGAGTTTACCCTTGCTCAAGCCCATGGAGATGAGTAGCATTGTATCTAAGGATACCTTAAAGTGTGATTATTGTGGGAAGACAAGGCATATACGAGAGTTTT